AGAAGCAGGAAAGGCAGTAAGAACAAGATAACAGTGGAGAAGAGCGCTGGAGCTACTTCCCAAATACTTTTCATTCTGTACTCTCGGGCCTTGTCTTAGACATGATTGAATTTTTACAGCTTTGCAGGATAGTCTATAATGAATTTAGAGCATAGAGCCAGATCTTTCAGGTTTGCTAGCCTATGCTGTCTTCTCATCCATGAGAGCAGAACTCTGATCCTAGATCTGGGCCAAGATTTCCTCATTCTGTGTTTTTGTCGCTAACTCTGTGAAGTTGTGGTTGGGAGAATGTGTGTTGACTTCTGATGAGTGGCATGGGTGATGGGGACAAGAAGGCAGTGGCCAGGATGGTATTTCAGGGTGAGGAGAGATGTCTGGCTCCTTGTCTCCCATGTACCTTACACAGTATTCCTTTGACCTATTCTCTGAGACTATTACAATGGAATGACACTTCTTTTGAATCTGTTCTTGGCATTGAACTTGCTTGAACTCGCTATTTTACAGATATCAATTTGAAAAAGAGAACAAGTGAAATATATTCACTCCATTATCATTTTTCATTTTCTTCCTGCTATATATGTGTTTATTTAATGTGTCTTTTTCTTTATTTTCAGTATGGAACATGAAACTGGAAATAATAACTCAGAATGTTCCTGAAGAAGAAAGTGTTTCCTTTGAGGTAGAAATGGAAGGATTTACAGGAGAGGGTTCCTGCTTTCCCATTTTAGGTGACAATTGGGACTGCAAGAACCAGGAAAGAAATTTGAGGCAATCTCCTTTAATCAATGAGAAAATAGAGGCTCAGGAAGCAAATTGTAACCATCTTAATTTGGGGGAACATTTGAGTACAAACTCAGCCCTTCTACCATCTCAGAGAGTTTCTTCGACAAATGGCTTCCATGTTCATAACTCAGATATTAAACCTTTTGATTGTGACCAAACCTTACATAGTTGTCCTCAGAGTTACACAGTTAAGGGAACTGGTGATGGCGATGCTTGTGAAAAAGCTACCCAACCTTCCATGGAAGTCACTCAACTTGTGAGAAACCAAACGAGAGATAAGCCCTATAAATACGCAGAAGGTATTAAACCTTTAAACCACTTTACCACTGCCCTTTGTGATAAGAAAATTAAGAAAAGAAGCAAGAAATTTTACAAAGGTAAGGACTTTGGGGACATCTTAGCCCTGAGCTCATCTCGTAATGAAAAAAGAAGTCATTCTACTGAGAAACCCTATAAATGTGCTGACTGTGGCAAATGCTTCAAACGGAACTCTTCTCTTGTTCTACACCACCGAACTCACACTGGTGAGAAACCCTATACCTGTAATGATTGTGGAAAATCATTCTCCAAGAACTATAACTTGATTGTACATCGAAGGATTCACACAGGAGAGAAGCCCTATAAATGCAGTAAGTGTGGGAAAGCTTTCAGCGATGGATCAGCTCTGACGCAGCACCAGAGGATTCACACAGGGGAGAAGCCTTTTGCATGTCTAGATTGCGGAAAAACTTTCAACAGAAACTCATCCCTGATTTTGCATCAAAGAACCCATACCGGGGAAAAACCATATAGATGTAATGAATGTGGGAAACCCTTCACTGACATCTCTCACCTTACTGTGCATCTCAGAATCCACACCGGTGAGAAGCCCTACGAGTGCAGCAGGTGTGGAAAGGCTTTCCGCGATGGCTCCTACCTCACTCAGCATGAGAGGACACACACTGGAGAGAAGCCCTTTGAATGTGCAGAGTGCGGGAAATCCTTCAGTCGCAACTCTCACCTCATTGTGCATCAGAAAATTCATTCTGGGGAGAAGCCCTACGAATGTAAAGAGTGTGGGAAAACTTTCATCGAAAGTGCCTATCTCATCAGGCATCAGAGGATTCACACTGGTGAGAAGCCTTATTGTTGTAACCAGTGTCGTAAACTCTTCAGGAACATTGCTGGACTTATCCGGCATCAGAGAATTCATACTGGTGAAAGGCCTTACGAGTGTAATCAGTGTGGTAAAGCTTTTAGAGATAGCTCCTGTCTGACCAAGCACCAGAGGATTCACACCAAGGAGACTCCGTACCAGTGTCTGAAGTGTGGAAAGTCCTTCAGGCAGAACACTCACCTGGTAGTACATCAGAGACTTCATAACAGAGAGGGTCCCAGCCAGTGTCCTCACTGTGGGAAAGTATTTAGAAGGAGCTGGTGTCTTGCCCGACATCAGAGAACACACCTTGAAGAGCAGCCCGTGGATACGTAATGGACATAGATCCTACTCTTTTTGAGTGAACAAAAGATTTGTCTTCAGATGTGACTTCCCTTGCTAACAGAAAAGATTTTTTTTTTAAAAAATTGAATATGAGATATTCTATAATTGCATTTACACTGTTATTAGGGAGCTCCTGAAGAGAGAATTGAATGGTAATCAATGTAGTAAAGGCTTCAGGGATGATTCAGCCTATACCAAACATGTAGCGCATACACTGAGATAAAGCACCTGTCAGTGAGGAAGGCATTTTCCTAGAGATACCTATTTACCTTTACATCAGGTTCCTGAAATTGGAAAGAACCTGTGAATTCATTCAGTAGGTAATCAGTAGGAGACATCTTTAATAGTATTACTTTATTGTATACAAGCAAATGCTATTAGAGTCAAAACTTGTAAATGTTATCTGGAAGCGATACTTTTGTCAGGAGTTTTTACTGTCCTGTTTCTGCAAAGGCATAGTGGTGGGGTGTCTCACACAGTGGCCTACAAACCACCACAAGACATGCCTGGGTTTGCTGTTCGAATGCAGTTCTGTTTTATGGTCCTGCCAGAACACAGATGACTCATTTAATGCGGTGAAACTGGATATAGGAGTTGCTTGTGATTGAAATGAAGTTGTCCCTCTTAAGACTAAAACATTCTCCGTGATGGAAAGGGCTGCTTCTAAGAGATAGAATCCATTGCTTTAGGTGTTGGAACAAGAAAATACTGAATTGTATTTCAGTTATCACCTGCCTTCACCATTGTTGATCATTTTGGATACTAATTTATGTAGAGTCCTTTGAAACAAAATCCAAAGGTTTCATTGCCATCCTAAAAATACTTAGATCATTACAAAAGAAGGCATGAAAGTAGGTTTATTGTTATTACAATCATGTAAGCATGTTCATATTTGGTTATAGGATAGCATTGGATGATGGAATTAAGTGGCTTCTTAGGAGACTACAATTGTGTTCTTTTTCCTTTTTATTTATACATTTTTATATAATAATTTGTTAATGTATTTAAAAGTGAAGCTAAAAGGCAACAAATTTGGAGTTTTCTTGGATCTTTGCCAGTGGATAAAGGCCAAAGATACTGTTAGACATTCTACAAAGGCTGGATCATGGCTACAGGAAGCCATAAGCATCTCCAGGTGTATATTGACAGATGCTTGTTTGGAATCAGAGCATCCCGAAGCCCAGAATCATTTCTTTTGGAATTTTGGATATAAAGATTATGGTATTGTGGAGGGAGAGGTCTAAGAGTCTAAGGATAGGGAAGAGAAAGATACAGAAAAATCTGGAATTAACATATCTTTTCTCAGTGCAGTGTTAGGACTAAAAGCTAGACAGTTTGGTTGAGAGCTTCAAAGATGTCTGATTCCTCCTGGAAGTTTTGACTTGACCCTGTCTTCTATCTTTTGGTTCCTGTGGAGAGAGAATCATAAGTCTATTTTGAGATGATTAAGGCAGTTGAGTAGATTCATAAGGAATTAGACAGCTCAGTCTTCTGTATGCATCCCCTTGACAGCAAAATGGTTATCATATGATGGGGATGGAGAGATAGTGGTAGAGAGCGCTTGTTATTCTTCCAGAGGACCTGGGTTCAGTTCCCAGGACCTGTGTGATGGGAAGGTACTGGTGCCTAGTGAGTAGAGGCCAAAGATATTATTGTCAGACCTCCTACAAAAATAGCTCTTGGTATAGTTATCCCAGAATATTAAGAGTACTGTGATTGGGATACACACATACCCACACACACACCCTGCACACAATCATTTGTAACTTACAGATTGTCTCTATAAAGTTACATGTATGAATAAGGCATTAGCAAACACCTAGTGGACCATCTATACCACTCAAGGGTGGAACACTTTAGTGTTTGTTACTCTCAAGTAAAACATGCATGTAACATTAGTGTTAGTAGTGTCCCTGCTTCTTGATACTACATTTCAGAACAGGAAATCATCACTGGGCAGCTATGGTCTGAGGGAAGCACCTCAAGGAAGAAGTGTCAACTCTGAAATTGTAGTGAGTCCACATGGGGTTTGTGTGAATGTGAATTGTTTCCCCTTGCTCTTCTCTAAAATTAGTTTCCTCAGATGTTCAGGGAAAACTGCTGTAGTGAAAATAACTACTGTATAGAAGAAGGACACTTTTGACTAAAGAGGGAAAGAGCAGGTTTGATTGGGAGAGTTCTAAATGACTTCCAGTGCAACCTGGCCAATTTTCGGTGGTAGGCCTGAATGATTTGGGAATAAGACAGGAGAATATACTGTAATATCAGGATGAATACCATTTAATTACACAGCCCTTAAATAGGTAGAGAACTTGTGCTAGAATCAGATGGAGAAAGTGAAGGTAGAGTATTTCAAAGGAACATTTATTTTACTTTTCCTGACTTTGAGGAACATGTAACTGTTCCTGGCTTTAAGGCTGGAGAATCCACAATATGAGTGGCTTCTGAAAGCCAGAGAGGCAAGAAAATAGATTCTCCCCAGCCTCCCCAAAAGGAACTATCCCTGTTCTTATTAGTCTATGGAGATTGAATGGATTCAAGTCCTAAACTGTGATAACTGATGTGTGGTTTGTGGTTTTAAGCCACACTTTTGTGTGGTAATGTGTTACATTATCTATAGGTGATAGACTTCCCTTGATAGTTCTTTTTAGGCTCCTGACTGAAGTGTGTTCTCTTACTGAGCAAGTTAAGTAAACCAACCCTTTTTACTCCATACCTATAAAAAGATTTTTAAGGAAAAAAAGATTTCTCTTGGCTCTGTTGGCCTCCGTGTGCTCCCCATTTTAACAGCCCTGAATTCTATTACTAGTTTAGAGATTTAAATACTATGGATGTTCATGGGTGTGGTGGCATACACCTATAATGCCAGAACTCAGGAGGCAGAAGCAGGTGGATCTCTTTAAGTTTGAGGCCAGCCTGGTCTACAAAGTGAGTTCTAGGACAGCTAGGGGCTACATAGTAAGACCCTGACCCAAACAATAAGAAATAATAGTAAAATAGGTTCTGTTCGTAAGTAGCCATTTGTGAAAAGAAGTTTCTGAAAAGATAGAGTAACTTTCTTATCACTTTAATCCCATCCCTTTCCACTTGGCCAAGAAGAAGGCATATTTCAGCATCATAAAGCCTGTCCAGATCCAAGAATGTGACAGTGCCAGAGCAGGGTTTCACATCTAACATAGAGATTGGGAACATTTATAGCTATGGTCAGTGTCTTAACTAGTTATGTTAACCCACATCCTTTTGATTTCCAAGTTATCAGTGCTCAAGTATGCCTGCCTGCAGGTTGTTCACTAGACTGGTCCAACGCCATGTCTTTCTTTGTTCAGCAACTGTATAGAGTACTTGGAGTAAGAGTTGGCACTGTAGCAGAAAGCAGAACAAGGTGTTTACAACTCAGCAGGGGAGAAAAAGAACTACACAGCATGTATCAGATGATGGTTGATGCCTGGGAGAAAAATAAAGCCAAGAAGGGGGATGGGGTGTCTGTGATGGATAGATTCGATTACAGTTTTAAAAAGCTTGATCATTGATTTCCTTTCCCAATGAAAGGCAATTACATGTGTGACATGCGAGGGGTGTAATGTCATGCAACAAGAGGTTAGGATTTAGGGAGGAGAAACCTTTTACCATGTGAGTTACAGGGAGGAATAATTAAGTCATAGATGGAACTTCTTCATGAGTAGCAGTTAAAGAAATGGCTTCATTGCAGAGGCAGGTATGGAGAACGAAACTTTGCACAAGGGTAAGTTCATTTACAGGAAAACATCTATGATTCTGAAGATAAATGATTTCAGAATATGGACAATGAAGTCCTAGCCGAAGAGAACAAGTATATAAGTATATGCTTATGTCTAGACTTGACAACCAAAGGTATTTAGCATTTCTGGTCATTTCTGATAAAAATAGACTAGTGTTCAGGTTTTAAAAATTAAGGGGACTATGCAGTGGTTCTTGGTGTTCTCAGCAGGTTGTTCAGTCACTTCCATTCTGTAATTTCAGGGCATTTTTCATTATCCATACAGAGGCCCTTTATACCTATTAGCATCCTCCCATTCCTCTGACCCTGGCAATCACCATCTCTTTCACTGTGCATTTGCCAACAAATTCTTTACATTACACATCAATGGAAAAATAAGACATGGCTCTTTGTAACTTCACTTAGCATAATGTTTTCAAGGTTCATGTTGTATGTTCAAGGCCCTTTTTGTGGCTGAAAAATATTTTGCACATATGAATTTGCTTACTGGTTGGTTGGTGGACGTTTCAGCTTCCACTTTTTTTGGCTACTAAGAATAATGTTCTGAACACATACAAACCCATGTGCCAATAAATTTTCAGTACTCTTGGGTAGATACTTAGTGGAATTGCTGGGTCTTTGTTTGCTTTTTGAGGAACTGATGTCCATCTTACATTTGACTGATGTATTGTATGACTACTTTGAATTCTTCATGTCCTTACCAATATTTATTTATTTTTCTTGCCCTAGTGGTGTGAAGTGTTATCTTGTGGTTTGGGAAAAATAATTTATATAGTTGAAAATCTATACTTTATCCCTTATCCCAGCATTTTTTTTTCTGCAAAGGGTAGTATTTTAAACTGTATCATTTCTGTTGCAACTACTCAGCCACAGATGACTGTAATGTGGAAGTAGCTGTAGATGATTTATAAGCAGATGTGTTTGGATGCGTCCAATAAAATTTTACATATGGACTCTGATTTTTTAAAATTATGTTTCACAGTAAAAAATTACAGAAAATTCAAGTTTCATTTAGCAGAGTAAGTCAGGCCTGGTGGTGCTCACTTGTAAATCTCGGCACTTAGAGGCAGTAACAGAATGATTGCCACAAGTTCCAGGCCAGCAGAGACTCCATAGACTCAGTCTAAAAAAACAAAAACCCAAAGACAAAACTATAATAAAATATTCTTTGTCCAAACTAGTTGTAGGCAAACTATTTAAATGGAAAGGTGGCTTGAAGTTGGTGGGTTTTTGTTTTTTTGTTTTTTGTCATTTGGCATAGGCAAACATTTTAAAGTGAAATGAATATCAAGAGAAAAGGTTATAGTAAATTTGAGAATTCATGTGCATCAAAAAATCCATATTGCCGGGCGGTGGTGGCGCAAGCCTTTAATCCCAGCACTTGGGAGGCAGAGGCTGGCGGATTTCTGAGTTCCAGGACAGCCTGGTCTACAGAGTGAGTTCCAGGACAGCCAGAACTACACAGAGAAACCCTGTCTCGAAAAACCAATAAATAAATAAATAAATCCATATTATGTAAGTGAAATGGCAAGCAATAGAAAAAAAAAGACCATTGTAGCTCATAGAGTGGACATAGGAATGACGTTTAAATGTTAAGGATCCAGCATCTCAAAGATAAAATTCATTGAAAATGTTGGCAAAAGCTATGGTTCTGTGCCATTTTGAATGAGGAAATCCAAATGGCCAATAAATTCACGGCACTGTCCAGATTCATTACATGTTATAGAAATCCCAGGATACTGTATCTGGATGAATAATACGATAATAAGTGTTGACAGGTAACTAGTTGACAACTCTGCATTTTGCTTTTGACTTGGGACGAAGTCTTTCATATGACTATATATTCTCAGAAACAGTTACAGTTCTAGGCACTGCCTGGGCAAGAAACCGTGGATAGTCACAGTAGTTCTAGTTAAAAAGAGATTGGGTGGGAGTGGAGTCTTACTGTATCTCTGGCAGGAGTGGAACTATTTGCCAGTCTGGCAGAGAACTCACTTGAGATCCTCCTCTCAAGTAGGGAGGTTGAGAGTGCTGCTGTTTCAAGTGTGAGCCATTAAGCCTGACAACCATTCCCTCCAACAATTCTGGAAACAGTACTAATGTCCTTTGATGTGCCATGGAAAATTATACTACTAAATAAAAGTGAAGCTGTTTCCTCAGAGGAAACAGCTGTGAACAGATTGCCTTAGGCAGTGCCTTCCTGTACTTTTTATTTTTTTGGTTTTTTGAGACAGGGCCTCTCTGTGTAGCCCTGGCTGTCCTGGAACTCACTCTGTAGACCAGGCTGGCCTCGAACTCAGAAATCCTCCTGCCTCTGCCTCCCAAGTGCTGGGATTAAAGGCGTGCGCCACCACTGCCCAGTGCCTTCCTGTACTCTTGAGCACTGGTTTGAGGGGCTGACCAGGAGGAGACATGGTTTCAAAGTAGTTGAAGTCAGAGACTAGAAGTCACTTCCTGATAGGCAGGCAGCTAGGAAGAGGGAATACGAACAGTGAACTTGGCTGCCTTTTTACTCTTCCTTCCTTACCTGAGACAGAAGCCTGGCAGCTTAAACAAAGGCCTTGTGGGTTTTTTCTCTGCCAGCAGGGTCTTTGCTGATGGACTGGCTCAACAAGTTCAAGGCCGGGTGTTTAAACATGTTTAAACAACAGATATGAGTCAGTCACTTATCCTGTCTGTCTTCAAACCGAACTCTCCAAAACTAGGGGAAGAAGACCCTTCGAAAAACAAAAAACTGTCTTGGAGGAGAAGCCGGGTTGCTTTGTAGAAGATCTTTTCTGTGTTCTTCCTCACCCCCTAATAAAAGCCATTCTAGATGGGCTGATTTCTGTCTGCTCCTGCGTGCTGCGTTTCAGTTTCCTTGCTGCTGTCACTTTAGAGATTTCCCCTGCTTTTTAATTCTTTAATTGCTGAGGAAAGGCAACCTCTAATCCCTAGGGGTAACAAATGGAAGGGCACTGGACTGGCTGGGTGCCCAGAGTCATATCCCGCAGAGGGTGGGAGGGGAGACGACAGGAGTAGGTAGGTACTATTGCAAAAGTTTGACCTCACGTAGGAGGTTCGCGCAGTCTGGACAGGTGGCTCGAGGTTTTCGTTTCAGTAAGCCTCAGCAGTCTGCCGGGACTAAAAGCCGCAGAGCTCGAGACCGCAACGGAAAAGGAAGCGTCCGCTCTTTCTGGGATATCCACGCCCAGCTTTTGGTGACGTAAGGCAGCTCAGGAACACCTCATCCGGGAGCCTGGGGCGCGCATGCGCAGACCTCTAGCATCCCACGTGGGGGTTGTGCCCTGGGAGGAGAGTGGGCGTCTCCCTGGTTCTTAGGTGAGGTCTTCGTCCTTTGTCCTCCCGCTCCCTCCCTCCCCCTCCCTCTCCCCCTCCCCGCGACTTCCGCAGAGGCGGAGCAGAGTCCTAGACCTGCGTGTCTGGGCATCTTGGGATCTGAAGCTGAGGCCAGGCTGGTGGCCGTTTGTTGTGCGTACTGTCACGAGTGCTCTCAACCCGCAGGACGCGGAGAATAGTTCTTTCTTCCTTTGCGTCAGCCTCCCTGAGGTTCGCACTCCTCCGCCAGTATGGATCTTGCTGCTTTCCCTGCAAGTGCACATGCAGACTGCAGCTCCTTCCTCCCTTCCTCTTCTCCGTCTCAGGGTTAGGGACTGGAATACCTACTGTTTACTGTGTCCACTCCCAAGCTTTCTTTGTGCTTTTCTGACCACCAGCCCTTTTTCTGCCTTTCCTCAATCCCTTTCCTCATAGAGACAGCGTCCCCTCCCTGCACCTGTGTGTTTGGTTTCTCTTCCTAGAGGCTGCGAAGTCCCCCAACCTTCCTTCTCTCCCTGGGTGTTCCCTTTCCCTTATCCGCCATTCCAGACGTGGACTGGGTTGCCTTTACCCACAAGCCCCTGATGTCCACTCCTTTCCGAGGTCAGATATCCCAGACTTAAGTGAGTTCTTAATTCAGCATCTAGTGTAGTCTCCTTAAATGACTTCTTTCTCTCCATTCCTCAGCGTTCGCCTCGACGTTTTGTTTTTCTTTTTCTATTAGCCACACCCTTCCCCCCATTGTGTCTTCAAAATCCACTGCCTTTACCTCTAAGAAATGTCCAGAATCCAACCACCTCCTCGCTTGTGTTCTAACCAGACAACAGGGGAACTTATTAAAATCATGACCTTCCATCACTTTAAACTGTGACTCCTTTAGCTCAATAACTGCCTAGAGTCCTGAGGAACCTACATCAAAGCGGAAGTCAGAGCACAAGCCTGCCGTACTGGGCAGTGCAGTCTCTGAGTTTTGCTTGAGCAGCGGTAAGAGAATGGAACAGGTATCCCTAACCCAGAAAACAAGTACAGATCCGACCCTAAGTTTGTAGAGTGAGTATTTGATGATAAGAGTGGTATATTTTGTTCTTCGATTTCTCTTACATTACAGTACAAAATCAGATCCCCTGCTTAAACGTTGCCCAGAAGAGAGTCTGGCACACAGTAAGTGTTCAGTAAACTTTTGCCGAGTGAATGACAAAAGGCTGTCTCTGTAATTACAAGATCACAGAGTGGGTGTGCAATGCACCTAGCATTTTTTTTTTCAGTGTCCCCTTGGCCATTGTAGAGCTTTCTCTTTTAGAATACATGTTGCCTCAAGCAGTATGGAGTGTCGTGTGTGAGTGTTTGGAGTTTGTTAGTATTCTGTCTAAACTCCACCTCCACAGTTACCTGGCAACAGCCGGTATGCTCCTCCCTACAGTTACCTGGCAATAGCCAGGTAGGCCTGGCCCTCTGTAAAAGGGGCTGCTTGCCCCCTCTCTCTTGAGCTTTTAATCTCTTGCCTCTAGCTTCTCTCTGTCCCCTCGACCCTCCCCTTCCCTTCTCCCTCTCTCCACGCAGCCTCTACTTCTCTGCGCTCGTGCTCGCTCACGCTCCCTCTCCTCCCTCTCTCCCTGTCCCTCTCCCTGTCCCTCTCCCTGTCCCTGTCCCTGTCCCTGTCCCTCTCCCTCTCCCTCTCCCTCTCCCTCTTCCTCTCCCTCTCCTTCTCCCTCTCCCTCTCCTACACTCCTGGCTCCCCTCCCCATGCCTTGAATAAACTCTATTCTATGCTATACAGGTGTGTGACTGGTCCCTCAGGGGGAAGAGATGCCTCTGCATGGACCCGCTGAGAGACCCCCTTCCCCCATACTTCTCCACACACCCACTGAATATTCTCTTTATCTCTTTATAAACACATCAGAGTTGATATGCTTGATGTAGTTTGAACTTTGCCACTTGCTTTTGTCACCAATTGTGTGGTACTCGTGAAGACCTCCGCAGAGACCCTCACTCAAATCTCAGAAAGTCTCGACCACCCAGTAATCTGCTTGAGACACCATGTACCGGAGCAATTGCGAGATTTATTAGGGCGTGACAGCTAGCTGCCGGTCAATTCGTATGCCTACGCAGGAGCTGAATTGACCCCGACAGCCAGTTTGAGATTGGTTTTTAAAGGGAAAAACCACAAACCAAGGAATGGGGAGGGGGTGAGGGGTTGCTAAGGTGGTATAACATAAAAATAGTGGAACATTCCAAAGGAACCCAACCTACGGGAGTCAGGGTCAGGTGAAAACTCTCTGTACGATTATCTTTCTCAAGAATGTGGTCCTGCCCTGTTACTTCGGCCTTGCCCTCTCACTGCGGTTCTCAGCTTGGTTCCCAGCTTGGTTCCACCTAGTTCACTTGCATTCTTTCCTTTCTCTTTGCAGATAGGCCAGTTCCAGTAATGGTGACTGGTCTTTCCACATTCCTAACTTGCTTCATGCCTCGGTTTCTCCATGTCTTTATAAAGAAAGCCTAAAGAATATTTTATATGTCTAAAAAGAATTCTATATACCCAGTATCTATAATTTTTCACTCTACACTCGGAGCTTTCAGCACTGTTTTCCCTGCCGGGTAGTAGTCACTGTTAGGTTATTTCTTTGTCTCCCCCTCAC